AGCGGGAGTCACAACTTGGGGAAATAAATCAAACTACAAGTTAAATATCTCGTACTGTGTAAGCAACGGACGTTTGTTTAATATTCGTGAGGTCTGACATTCCCCTTTCTCTAGTCCGAAAATCCTACAACTTCCATGTCCCGCCATAGCCACTTAAAACCTTTATTCGTCACTAGTAACCGGGTACCACCTGCTTTACGTTCGTAATTCTATATGTCATTCGCAGAGTCTCAGGTTCGATTCCCGGCGGTGCCCGAATTTATAACTTGTGTTGGGCAAGGCCGTGGTCTAGGCATCACGGGGTTTTCCTCCGGGGGCTTCCCCGGTTTCTCCGTGGCATCCCAACACACAGAAGAAGGCAATGGCAAACCACTTCTGGATCATCTGCCAAGAACGTATATGAACAGGTCCCAGTCCGAGAAAAGGATGGAAGGATCCTGTTCATATGGACCTGTCGTCAGACAGAACACTAAAAAAACGTTTAGTGTGTTGGCGACTGAGCTGCGTCTCGTTCAGGGGATGGAATGTGTTAAGGTGGAAGAGATAACCGTTCGATATGATGTGGAAGACCAATGAAGATGGTGAAAGATGGGTCGTTCCCATAGAAAAGCTTTAGAATAACAGCAGGTTCAGTATTATTAGTGTTATGTGCCATTTCCATATTTGCGGACTAGTCCCTGCACGTTACACAATAGCCTCCAAGTTCCATTAAATATTCATCACCTGCACAGACCTCTTCGTCATTCCCTTGAACATGCAACCGAAGCCCCTGTTTGCAGGCAGAAAGGGTGACACACTGCTTCGTATGCAGTCCTCATCTGCAGAGTTCATTCTTACAAAACTAACTTTCTGATAGCTCTGACGTCGCTTTTGTTGGAAGTCAGTGAAGATTTTCCCATCGAAGTGTTCATTGTCTCTTCTTTCTCGTTGTGTAATCCCTTCATTATCCAAGCAGTTGGTCCTGTGGATGAAGACAGAAATGCAATAAAATTGCCTATGTTCGTAATAAGTTCATTTTATTTTACATTTTGATTGATTAAATAAGCGTAGATAAACTCTTCAATACGTTTTCGTTGATCCACTGTAAATATTTGTAGAAAAGATTAAAATCAACATATCCGTTTCCATTTGTTTTTCAGGTAATGGAGCCCCATCATTGAATGGCTCAAAACCGGAAGTTGTGTCGTATGATTCATAATGGCATGCGGTTGCCATCTATTGGCAAGTGTGAGAATAGTGGTTTGTTATTCGCGGATGGCATTCACAAACCAATGCCATCTGTGAATAACTTTGAGAACCAAGTGCTAGTCTTAAGTTCAACTACCGAGTAGATATGTTATTTGGAGGAGCGCGCAGCAGATATTTCAAAAGTAAAACCAGCAATACTCCCCTTGCTAACTTGTGTCTTTGTACCAGCTGTAGAGCTTATTTAGCAAAAACTAATGATTAAATTGTAACGTGAAGGGATCTGAACAGGCGCCATACTACGATATACAGGCGGAGTTGATTGTTCTACGAACCGAGTACATTTATGAGAATTGCACTACGCACTTGCCACGTTGTTGCGTCAACCACGCTCCGTGTTATTGCTGTGCTGTTTAGCTACGTGTTTACATATTTTTGTGCGTGTTTTATAGACCCCTTATTCAGTTTACTTTTTCGCTACGTCTATATACCTCACGGCCAGAACTGTGTTGGAAATGGCATGAAAGACGATAAAAGACTTGAGGTTCTCACAGCGGTGAGTATGAAGATTTCCGTCTTCTGGGTTATTGCGCTGTGTAGTCTGGTCGATGTTAACCGACGTTTCAGAGGTCATACTGCCTCCGTCATCAGGGCGAGGTTTTCACAGCGGTGAATATGAAGATTTCTGTCTTCTGGGTTGTTGCGCTGTGTAGTCTGGTCGATGGTTACCAACGTTTCAGAGGTCATACTGCCTCCGTCATCAGGGCGAGGTTTTCACAGCGGTGAATATGAAGATTTCTGTCTTCTGGGTTGTTGCGCTGTGTAGTCTGGTCGATGGTTACCAACGTTTCAGAGGTCATACTGCCTCCGTCATCAGGGCGATGAATCTGAAACGTTGGTAACCATCGACCAGACTACACAGCGCAACAACCCAGAAGACGGAAATCTTCACGATAAAAGAAATTTGAAGAAGTAAGGAAGAGAGAAATACGCTGGTTTCATTTTGTTTTCAACTGTAGTAAATCAAATTGTCTTCACACTTCAGAACAGGGAGGTGGAGACCAAATGCTTTTGAAGCCCAAACCTCATCTGAATACTTTTCAAATAAATTAATTCTCACCGCAAAGATAAAACAACACATCATTATAAAGATCATTCGGTTGGTGGTGTTTGTATTCAGAACCATATGAAACCAGAAAATAAGTCCGTGGTAAAACATGAGGTACCACTGGGCTTTAAAGAGTTGCAGTAAGCTTATGGTGTGATGTTCATTCCTCTGCCTAGGAACTTGTCCCGTCAGGTCGAGTGTCAATTTCCTAACTTGTGTCTCTATGATGTTTCGCTGTGATCTTCCGGCAACACGTTCACACATCGGTGGGCATTTCTAATTTAAAGCTCACTGCCATCCCACCCTTTCGAGTCTGGGGAAATTAAAAGTTACTTTGCATTCCGACCTTGTTTCCCCTCCTGTCTTGTCACATGAAACACATTTCTCCCACTTGTACAGTGCAGCGTAGTGAAACTGTTTTAACCGTGTACAGGCTCCTTGAAGATTTCGTCTTAATTACTTGTGGTTGAAGGAGGAGAATAATGCAGCGGTAAGGTCGGTTTAATTTGGTTTTAAACTGTAAGTCGAATTGTCGTTACTATTTAGAAGCGTCAGGGAATAGGCATCCGAGTGAAGTTAGAGAAATTGAATTAAAACATCAAATAGAACAAGAAAAACTTCAGTCTTAATCAACAGCGCGCCAGGCGTAGGGTAGAACTAAAGTCGATCGAAGTCCTTACAATTCCGTTTTTCAGAGGATGACGCTTACAAAAAAATGCCACGATTATTCCAGATTTTTCGTACTAAGTTTGGTTTAGAAACGTTCTTCTTTAGTGGTAGATAAGAGCGTGATATTAAAATTAACCGTAAAGAAATATAATACCAGGATGGACTGAAAACAACAACGAGCTTTAGAGTTACATAAAATACTGAGAATTTCGTGAGTATTTCATGTAATTACGTTAAAAGCCTAATTTTTGTTGCAAGATTTCACTTTCTCACGGTGGCAAGTATGAAGATGGTAGTTTTCTGGGTCATTCCGCCTTGTCGCCTGGTAAATGTTTAACGACGTTTCAGACGTTCCTACTGCCTCCATTTTCAGGACTAGTAGGCAGCAAGTTTCTGCGGTAAGTTGGTAAACTTCTACTAGACTTCACGGAGCAACAACCCAGGAGACTGCCATCTTCGTTTACATTTACTGTAAAGCGGAAAGTGAACGCTGGAAGGAAAGTCGGATGTCGTTCGTATCTACAGCAGGGTTAAGTACCTTATTTTTAAATCAGAGTTCGTGGTCTTTGTGTTTGTGTCCCCTTGTCTGCATTTTAACTACTGAATACTAATGGACAGTGAATGGAACAATCCAGCGAAGTTACTTCGCTGATTTCATTTGTATTTTTTATCATTTGTCTAGGGGGTACGTGTCAACACAATCGCGTCATGTTTACTTGCTACGTATGCTATATCGAAAGACACAAAGGCTATGCATAATGCAGAATTACCCGAGTGACAGGGGAGGAACTTGGGATGAATTGTCCTCGGAGACAGCGATGTGAGCCATATTTACCATTACAGTTCCCTCAGGGCTCGTGTGCCAATGTCAGTGTACCCGGGGACCCTGAAGCACGCCCTAACAATACGAATGGGTGCGTTCAGACCGCAATTACGTTCAGGATTCTGTAACAAGCAAGACTCAGTGACGCAAGATTTTCTGAAATCGGGATAGCTCAGTTGGTATGGCGGCCGGAGTTCGATGTCCATATAGCGGAGGGGGGACATTTTGTTTTTTCGCCACGGTGAGTGGACAGGAGTTACAAATAATTTGCTTGAATGACAACTACAGGGGATATTTTATTTTCGTTCCGTCTTATCCATATTGTGCTGAACTCTTGTGGCAGAAATGTGCGCTATAAACTCGTAACTGAGTTCTGAATATGACAAGTAAAAAATTGTCTGGGTCACAGTTATGGTAGTTATGTAAGTAATGAATCTCTGTATTTTTTTACCATTAAATATTCTTGCGAAAACTAAACAAAATGTTAAATTTGAGCTTCGCATGAAGTAGTTAGTTACCTATATTCGGACCGATACGATTCAAAATGAATTTTTCTTGCAGTGTACAATTTTACAATTTATTGTGTGATTCGTTAATGTACTTTTATTTAAGTCGTTTAAGACTTGCGGAAACGAAGGAATCTCTCGGGCAGACGAAATTGCCCACTCCCGTGTCCTCACATTTTACGCACTCGAAAGTCCTCGTTGGAATGTTGAAATTGCACACCATTTATAAACAAGTTTAATTACGTCGCCGTACAGTACTCTTAAATTGTAATAGTGTATAAATGCATAGTTTAGAATTGACGTTTCTGTTTTTACGTGTTAGATAATAATTCATCCGCAATACCAAAACAGCGGGCAGTTACAATTGATTTATTTTACTTTCTTTTCTTAAGTTTTTGACCGAACATTTACGTAGTTCTTGGCCAAATAACACGAAATCCATTCGAACTGTCGCCGTTTCTTGAACTTGCAATTTCTTCCGTGTGAACTTTGTTTTAATGCGGTAGTCTCGGGGAATCCCCTTCATTCCACCAGCATTTCTGTAATAAGAGAAGGAATGGCGGAAGGCCGAACGTGCCATCTATAAACTACTGTCGTGTTTGAGGTTCTCGCTTCTGCAGGAACGTTATTAACCATGTACGGCGTCACAGAACGCAATTCAACATGGGAGACGTCATATACTGATTGAAACTGTCTTTTGTTCTCGCAGGTCCAACTAACAATCCGCACACTTCCTGACTTGCCTTCAGGAGCAAAATACAAATGCGTGTTTGGGAAGGCAGAGCCGATTGACGCGGTCGTAACTGCGATGGGACTGTCCTGTCCTACCCCAGGCGTAGCTGGACGCCCAGGAATCCCCGATTCGAGAGATCACGTGCTTGTACCTCTTTCTGTGAGATCTTCTGAGACCAACAAGGATTTCGTCAGCCGCAACTTCGCGTACTACGACTGTGCTCGTCATGCGACATGCATGGACTGCGTGAAGTCTCAGTGGGCGTGCAATTGGTGCGTGTATGAGAATACGTGCACTCATAACACAACTTCCTGCCAGCGCGCCGTCATCAGCGGAGAAAATGTAAGCATTCTCCATATGCTGCAACAGGTATTGGGCACTTTTATCTTATTACTCAGTAGTAGGCTAGCCATAAGAAGGGAGTTGAATAGTCTGACTTTGTTACGGCTAGAACTCTCTGCTTTTTATGGAAATTATTGTGGGATATTCCGAGTGACAGCAACAGGTTAAAAATAAAATAAGGGTTAAATCGTCACGACTTAACGAACGAATGTTGTGTTTTTTATATGACTAATGCAAGAAATATGGTGAAGGAACCTTTCTTTCTCTGTACTCCCAACAGGAAGTCACTTCCAGGACCTCACACATGGCCGTGGTTCTAGCTGTAGCAGACAAGAAATACAGCTCTGAAATTGCTCGGTCTTTCCCCTTGTACATGAGAACATGTTCCTACAAAGTTTCGATCTCTTCTCGCTTGTAGCTCAAACCTCTGCTGTACTCTCAAACTCTCTTCTCCTGGCTTGCCTGCTTATACTTCGTGGCGGGTTGTAAGGGTTATCAAGCTCGTACATTCTTACACAACCTTAAAATTAAATTAGGAAATTGCTCACACTTGGTACTGAAAATTAGTTTCGGATACAATTTTCCGTATTCAAGCACGCCTTGTGAGCGTGGTTTTCTCTGAAGATGGCTGTCTTCTGGGTGTTTGCGCCGTGCAAGTCTTCTACCAGACTGCACGGCAGACAGCCATCTTTAGACGTGAAAACATCAAATCGTGCGTGGTTTTCTCTGTTTGCCATGCCTCCTAGGTGTTCTTTTCGAAGAACGTCTCATGGGGTCATCCATGTGTGTCTGTCTGTCGCGTCTTTCATAGAATTGGGGTAACGGTGATCTTGGCCCACGTTGTTGCAGCGATGACATCATTTCGTTTGTTCCCTTTCTTGACCTCCTGACCTCATTGCCCGTGATCTGGCGTGAAGAACGTCTTTAGAATTTTAGTTCGCTCCAAAGAGATACGACTTTCCTGTCTTCTTTTCAGGGTGAAACTCAACGATGTATCGAAGCGGAGAAGAGTTGTGCTTGAGTATGTGAATTTATCTGAGAACATAAAATTGTATATGTGCCACCGAAGACGACACCAGTTATGCAATTGATGAACCAGGGTGTGATTTTTGCTTTGAAGTCATATTACCGCGAGATCAGATTCGAACATTTTTTTTTTGCAAGATGCTAGGTTCTCAGCGGCGAATGTGAAGAGATGGCAGACAGTTTACAGATGTTTCAGATATGTTTGCTGCCTCCATCATCAGGGCTGTTGAAATCTCACCGTGAGATCTCACTCAGAAATTCTTTAGTTTTTGTTCTGAATTTTGTTGTTATGCAGTAGAGCAAACCGAATCGTCTGCTGTCGTCTGCAGAATTTTCAATCTATTTGTGACTGTCGTGGACCCACTCTCTTTGCTGGAGTCTTTAATGGAGTTTCTCGTCGTCTCATGAGCGGAAGGTTTGGACTTCATTGTGGCAATAACTTCCACGCTCCGTGGAATGTCCTGTCCATATTTTCTTCCTGTAACATCTGTGGCTAGTAGTCTGCTGTGGAGGTTAGGGATTTCGTGGTACATTTCACCGTCCTAAGGTCAAATTGGGTAGACATTCAGCCCTACTTTAATTAAGTTTATTTTTCCGACGCAGTTGTTTTCCCGTCTCGCTCCTTTTTACAAGTTCATTCGGTTTTCGTGTTTATCTGAAGGGAACTGTAGACTGCGTTGACTTAATCCCAATCCCAGCCCAAAAAATGATGCTTGCCTTTATGTTCTAAGCATTATATAAAAGAGGTTTGGTATAAATTGACGTAGAATGAGAGGGAGGACTAGAAATTATACGTAAAGGTTTGTTGGTCAGCATTAGTGTTAGATGTCGTCAGGTATTAGCTCCTCTCTGTTCTGTTTGAATCACGGATAATTCACACTGGAATAGATCAGAATTAGACGAAAAAGGCGCATACAGAGATGTACCATAATATTCAGTGCTTTCGACATTCGCCCTGATTATTTCAACCAGGAAGCATAATATAAATGGACCTGTGTCCTACCGAGCACTGTGCTATGTACAAAGCGAAGCCATTTGATATTCTGTCAATAACAGTTGGGTTAGGGAATAGCTAGGATATGGCACGCAAAGCTGCTGCAAATCGTATTGAAACGTTTGCTCTCTTGTGAAGCTAGCCGTACAAGAGCGGACGCTTTAAAGTCGTATTCTTTGGTACGAATATACAGGGTGGTCGAAAATCCACGCAACCCATATTAAAATGTTTATATTGATTGTTGCAATTCAGCGCAGTTCGATTGGAGTAATAATCACAAAAGTTCGTTAAGGTCACGTCAGGTTGTAACCTGTTCGCGCCGGTACGTCACTTGTCTTTCAGCTGTCGAACTGCAAGGATGTCTTTTTTTTTTCACAGATGCAACGAGTATCCACTGTCGAACACTACTCGACGTCTCGTAATTATGTAACTTGCCAGAATGAGTTCAGGGACGCGGTTCCCGATTTTCACGTGTCATATCGACAATGCCTCGTCTGGTGCACTGTTTCCGTGAAACAGGAACGCTTCGCTGAACGCGGTGGACATTTACAACTGTTAATATAAGAGTCTTTTTTCACCCTTATATCTGTGTAATTTATTTTTGACAAATAGAATGCGTGTCAGGAATGGGTCTTGTAATCTTCCTTTGTATCAGACACATACCATAAAGTTGTTGCAAATAATGTTTTAAATCTCAAATTTCCTTGGTTCTGCCATTCAGTTTGATTCGCCTAGATCAGTGGTATTCAGCCTTTTTTTGTTCGCGTGCCCCCAGATATAATTTCTCTTCTAACTTTGTACCCCCAAAGTTGTTGGTGTATAATTCAAGTTATACATAGTATATAATCTACATTTAAAATAAATTAAATAAATTACATTACTGATTATTCAGTGTTTATCATAAAA